GGTGCAGAAGCAGATGTTCCGGTTAGGTGGTCAGCCGAACTTCGGAACCCCCAGTGTTTAGTTCCCAAGCATGCTTAGTACTCATGTATCGACCCACTGAAGGAATGAAAGGCTGAGTCAACCTTGCCCGGCCCGAGGATCGAACCAGGGACCTGTGGCACGACAGCGCGAAGCAAAATTTATTGCGCGTGCCAAATCCTGAAAAAGCCTTCTTTTATATATTTTTTGGAATTTTTTTCAGATCCGTTGTAAAAAACTGTAGATTTTAGATACATTCAAAGAAATTCTTCGCCCTTTTGAAAAAACATTGATAAAAACTATATTTTTTGTTAAGAATTTTGGATGGGCCCTCAGTCGTCCCGAGCTTAGGGACAATAGTATGCCTCTTTCCTCCTCCCCCCCCTGAATACGATCTTTATTATATCACATGTAAAATGCACGCATAATTTTCTTAAATTGTCTCTTAAAATGATCACTATGATCATCTTGAAGAAAGTATTTTTACGTTCAATGTACTTCTTTCTGGAAGAAATGATAGCCGTTTTATTAAGCTATTATCTCTACCAAATACGCTGAAGTTCGTTACATTTGCGGGTACTAAGCTTCTTTCTGTCAGAAAGGCGCTGGCTGCATAAATGTACGGTCAACTCTTCTAAACTTGCAGAAATGCGTTACTATTACGGGTACTGGGCTTTTTTCTGACAGAAGGGTGCTGGCCGTATAAATAAAAGGGCAACTCCTCTAAATTTGCTGAAATTCGTTACTATAACGGGTACTGGACTTCTTTCTCATAAAAGAGAGCTGGTTGTATACATGAGTGGTAAACTCTACTAATTTTGCTGAAGTTCCTTTTAACTACGAGAATTGGTTTTTTCCCTACAGATTTTCAGAACTTCTTCAGGGATGTTTGTCAGACCGTCGCGAACTGCCCATTGTGCAGCTCTACTTGCAATGTAGAAAAAAACTGATAAAAAATTGCTAATACTACACATTCTTACGTCTTCTTCAGCATATCATCACCCTTTAAAAGCACATTTGTTAACTACTTGTTATGGAATTCCTATTTCTGGAAACGAAAAAGCCAGTCTCATTAGAAATTATGAAGTAAGACGCCAATTAGCTCATCTTTAAAAAACCCGCCCCCTTTCTTTTTTGGAACAAAATATTCAAAAACTGTATTAGTAAATGGGGAATTCACAGAAAAGGGGTTTGGTTGGTAATACGTTGGTATTTAAGTTGAATTGGTTAGAATGTAGGATGAAGTTGAAAAAAAGGAAGCGGAAATTTTATATTCATTCGACTTTATTCTTAAAAAACATTCTGCTTAGTTTTTAATTTCTACTAACATAAGACTGTATAAACGATACAAAATACAATATTTAACTTGTAAAAGCATTTTGTGATTATCTCTGTTAGTTAATAAAAGTTACTGCCGCCGTCAGCCGTGCTTCAGAAAGTTTTGACTGAACGTGCTTCTCACTGTCATAACTCAAAGAGAAATGAACAATTTTAGAGAAATGAATAAAAAATATTCTGATATCAAAATATTATTATTCCAGTTTTTACTTCTTGAGTTATTTTTCGTCTAAGTTTCAGTTCTAAGTTCACAAAAAAAAAATTGTTGACCGATTTTAAAATTTCGAATTAAAATGTTTAAAATTTAAATTTATTTATACAAAATAGGTAAACAAAAAATCGTGTTTGTTTACGTCTTTTAAACATGATGAATGTCAAAGATTCCCCTTTCACTATAAAATGGGCTAATTTGGTGCTTTATTCTCAAAATATTCGGCATTCGACGAAATTTGCCAATTACCAAATTACTTGAAAAATAGTTCATGCAATACTCAAAAATTAGATTGTAAAATGCATTTTATTTTATGGCTGGAGCATGTAAGTATAAATATGCTAAATCAGAATTATATTGGATGAAAAAATTAAGATAATGTGCTTTTTTAATAACTGTAAGCAGAAATTTCATATATATATATATATGATCGGTAGAACTCCGACCCATCCCAGGAGGTATACGGAGATAAAAACTTAAATTATTACATTAAATATTTAAGCTTACAACTAAAAATACAGTAAAATTTTGATAAATGACAGTGGTAGTGATCAGTTAAAAGATAATTAACTAAAAATTAAGATAATTAAAAATTAAGGTAATTAAGAACATGATTTAAAAGCAATGAAAGCTAAAAGCGCCGGTAATCAGCGCCAAGAATTAAAATTGTTATAATAATAAGGAAATTAGAGATGAAAATAAAATCACAAAACTAAAACTCAATGAGAGCTAAAAGTCCTAAGAGTAAATGTCTATAAAAAGAAGTTTGAATAAAGTAGATGAAGTCTAAAATCACAAGTAGATAAAAGTTCAAAATGTAAAAGAGGCTAAAAGTTGATCAGTATAAAATAACGATGACATGTTCGATTGTTGGTTCATGACTGGGANCAAAAAAACACAATACGTACTGGTCTTAAACAAGAAGCTTTAAAAGCAATTATGAACATCTACCTAAATGGAAAACCCCTTTCAGATTTCTGTTCAGAAACCTCTGTAAATCATTGGCTTGATTGTGGAACTGGCAAACGTCATATTTGATTCATTTAAAAAACGCAGTACCCTCGGATAACTTGACATTCCAGATAACTTGACCCTCGTCATTTAAGTTATTTCATAAAAGAAATACTGGTTACTATTAGTAACCTAGTATTTCTTTTATTACTGTATAATGTCATCCTAGTAACGACTAATTCATTGTGCAATTTATATAAATGTTTGTAATAAATAGGAGAAAATTATTTTTTTATTTATTTAAAAGCGACGGGTTAGTTTCAACGGAGGACGGGTGCATTGTTGGACGAGCCGTCCTAGGGGACGGGTAAAATTTCTGAGTTTTTTCGAGCCCTGATAGAAGGATAACTTATTAGAATTAGAAATACAATAAAATTTGATGGAATAAACGTAAAGGTTCTCTTCTGGATGCATTCCTGTTTAGAATCCTGATGTTAGAGACAATACAGAATGAAAGAAAAGAGAAAATTTAAATTAAAAATGATGAATATAAAATTTATTAGATTTGATTGACTATGCATAAGATGCTAGTGCCTGGAACCCATAATATGAAATTTTTTATAAAAAGACAAAAAAAAAAGCAAAATAAGAAATAAAAAATAAGGAAACAAAATTTGAAAAATATGACGAAAGAAATAAAAATTATTGAAAATTTCAAAAAAATTAAAAACATAAAATTAGAAAATTAAACGATGAAATATTATCTCACTATCAGCTCACACGATTGTATCCGCGAAATTAGTGCTTTATTATATTATATTTATAAAGCCATAGCAAAATATATTAATACAATAGTGCGAGGAGCTCGAAAAAAAGATCTGTGCCTAAACAAATTTTTTATCAATTAAAAAAAATTTTTAACCTTTATCAAGTCATTTTCTAATTATAAACTACTTTTTAAAAAAAGGGAAATATATTTTATAATATAGTTTTTGCTACCACTGGAATATTTTTGACGGGCGATCAGAAGCTTCACCTAACGAAAAATGGTGCGAACTTTCCAAACGACACAATAATACTCCCTGAAATCTCGAATCGAAATCACGACACAATAATGTTCCTTGAATCTGATTTAAGACTTAACTCTTCAAATATAAATATTTATACAATGGTAATCATAACTATCTCGTTTCTGTAAACAGGGAAATTCTAATAATGAAACCCTAATGTTACCACTTTTTACTTTTTTTGGAAGAAAAAAAAAGTCCAAATAAAAGGACGTAAGGCACAACTCATTTAATAATCATATTTTTAACTTTAAAACTTGTCACTTGCTGCGCAAATAAATCAAATATGCATTCCAATTGCAAAATTAACAAAACGTTTGATAATTCAATTCCGTAACAATTCTAAATATTTAGTTCCAATTCGTGGAAATGTTAGCTGTAAATTCTACACAATCGAATTAAATACACCTGTGTATCAATTTTTTTAACTTTTTATTTCTTTTCAATCAAAAAAAAATGCGCAACTTATTAACCGTATTAGGAAATTTACTTTTAAAAAAAATGGCAAACTTTTCACGTGCGCAATTTTTTTCAAATATTAGAACAGTCGAATATTCAAAACGCATTTTATCCAGATGTGATTTCGTTTGGATCTTTTGCATACGTTAGCACAGAAACAAACTTTTCTTTTCCATGCAAATCGATCCGACCTTTTTATTGATAAGTTAGAATACTTGTTTACAAAATATTTTGATAAAAAAAAAACAATTCTAATAATTTTAATAACTATTCGCAAATTAACTCCTTCTCTTCAAACATATTCATAAAATCTTATATATTATCTATAATTCATCATGCATAAGTATCTGGAAATGTTAAAATGAATTTTATCTTATTTAGTTTGTTTTTTCCTCATTAAAAAATAACACATTTTACAATTATCAGCTTTGTTAGAAGTATAAATTAGTAAATTATAGTAATAGTCAGCACTTCGTCGTGAGATCTCATCGTTTTTTAAAATTGCTTAACAGTTTTCTTAACAGTTAAAATTGCTTAACTGCTTAACAATTGCTTAGTAATTTTTATTACATAAACATATAAAAATGGTCTTTTTAAACGTATACGAAATAATTTTTTGAAAATTTCCAAAGCGTAATTTAAAACTTTTTAAGCATGTTTTTTCGGTAGTTTTTTTTTTAATTAAATAAAATACTTTAAAATGATACAAACATCGAAAAAAAATGAAACAAATAAGAAACTTGATAGTTTCTTATTTATGAAATAAGCTACCAAAGTCTTCATGAACTTGACCCCTACATGAAAAAAAAGTTTTTCCTTCTGAAAAACTTAAAACAAGTTTCCGGAAGGGAAAAAAATTAGTTTTCCCCCTCTAATAAGGAAAAAGAACGACAAACCCGTGACGGAATCTACAAATGCAATAAAAATAAAAATAAAAAATTGCTTTAAACACTCACCGGTTTAGTGGGTCAACAGTTGAAAAAGAAGTTCCTTTTTGACTTCTTACCTTGAATCTTGTGGTCCGAAGCTAGCGCCGCGGCCAGGTAAAATGATAAATTATTACACCTGATCTATTTGACAACATTGGCCACACATGCGCAGGACGTTTTCTTATGCGCGCTCTGTTGCGCTAACTTTGTCTTTTCATTTAATTAGAATTTAGAGAGCAAAAAGTAAACTGTAAAAATTATCGTTTGCAAAAAAAAAATTATATTTCCCTCTGTTGCGACTCTTAGAGGTACACGAGCCGACCAATCGTTTTATTTCTGAGAACAGTTAGAAACGTGAAAGCGAGTTTTAGAAAACTAAATGGGATTAGCGACATCTGGCGCTATTTTCGCGCAACTCGATTAAAGGAAGCTGGAGAAGTACTATAGAAGAAACAAAGATAAATTGTTCTATTTTATCGCACTTTTAGTTTAAGCAACAGGTCTGCTAACAAACATACGCATTCGCATTTAAGACAAATATAAAGTATTTTTTTATTTGGAAACTGAAAGCAATAATCAAATTGAAATCGTATTTAGAATTTAACAAATATTCAATGAGCTTAGAGTTACAAAATAAATTATGGAAATTATATTCGAGTTTTAAAAAGCAATAAGAAGGACTTTTTAAATAGTATATATNGGTAGGTATATATATATATATATAAAGAGAGAGATAATTCTGAAATAACAAATATTTCTAATGCTTAACGTTTTATTACATGATTTGCGTCAATTGAAGTTTATAAAAATCACTAAATATATTATTATCAATATAATTCATATATTACTTTTTGGTTGTAAATATATATTATGGTAAATCTTAGAATTTAGTTTTAAAAAAAGCAAGATATTTGTGTTCGACAGAATACTGCAACTACATAACTATCTATATTTTGATATGAACTTCCAAAGCCCCCCCCCTCCCCAGTAGTCAGTCAAAAATTTTAAAGTGGTAGTAAACTAATTATAAAAGTAAGAGAAAATTTTAATGATTTAGCAACCACTTAAATATAATCAAATTTTTCTCTATGTCCGTCATATTTTTATGCGCGTGTACCGAATTACGTTCTCGAGTTACCGAGTACCGAGTAATTACCGAGTAATTACGTACCGAGTTACCGAATTACGGTGGTGACCGAAGTAATTGTATGCAAAATTTTTAGAAACAAGGCATACAAGACATATGTTGTTAGGTTTGCTCCCACTTTATATAATTAGGCGAAATACTGAGAGTCCAGGACTTCTCTGAATTTTTCTCAAAACTAAAATGATAATCAACCTTAAAATAAATATAGTTTAGTATGTCAATAATGACTGATAAGGAATACCAAATGGTGAACATTTTTTGTAATTGTATGCCCCGTAAGATTCAATTGAAACTGATTTCATTAGAAATAACTGGCGTTATGTTTTTTTTGCAAAAATACTCCTTCTTATTTAAAAATGTATTTAGGATATAATAAAATAAATTAAAATGATTCTTAAACTTTTGAATTTAGTGGCAAATTCTTAAATTTAGTGACAAAAACGTAAAAAAATAGAAATATGTTTGTGTGAGATTAGAAACCGCTCTGTATCCGTACATTTTAGAGTTCCATAACTCAAAATTACTTTTCAAACTTCTTACCGAGAGTTAATTTTGAGAAGAGTAGAAAATGCAATTCCCAGGATAGAGATATTATGTAAATGTTGCGACAAACTTCTAGGTGAGTTAGGGTACTTCATCTGCTTCTTCATTTATTCGTCTGCTTCTGAATAGTTCATAATATGGAAACACTCCTAGCGGCGTATGATGATGTGTCCAGGCACAGGTTACTATGCAATTTTAATCTTGATATTTTTGCCCAAGTTCACCTAAAAAGTTTCGTTTATGTTACCAGTGTTGTATATTACATTTTTAAATTGATGAAAAAAAATTAGACTAAAAATGTCATTAAAAGAATTACTAATTTCAGACATGAAATCAAGTCAAGTAATTGCATAAATGCAACAAAAAATTGATTCCCCAGTACTATTCACCGTTATTTACTTCCAGTCTAGACAAAAGAGGATTTTACCTGGGAAAATTGGTGAAAGTTTTTATTTTTTCTGGTAATTTAATGTTTTTGCATTATTTATTTATTTTTTAACAGTCGCATAATTAACATCCAAATATAACTATTTCAGTTACTATTATACGACGGTGATTAATAAGATTGCTTCTTTACCTTTAAATAAATGTTTAAGCCACTTTTTTTAAAAAATCTTGAAAGTGGCATTTTGAAGTATCGCAACAGATATGCTAATCTAAAACTTGAAAAGAAAAGAGGAATTTATATCTACCTCCATAGATATAGGAATAAAATCTAGAGAACTGGAAAATCTTGAACTATGCTCTGCAGTCATGGTATTTTAAAAATTGAGTGAAATTAAAATTATGAAACTTTTACTATTCTCTAAATACGGCTCACTAGTATTTACGTACTTTTGCCCGTTTAAAAAAAAGTCCTACTTAAATGTTATAACTGTCAAAAGATAGCTTGGTAGTTACGAATATTTTACTTTTTTGGAAAACAAGCAAGAAATAAAATGGTTTTTACAAACGCTTTTTCTTACTTTCAACCTTGAATGGACAAGTGCTATTTTTCAAAAAGTTAAAGAGCGGTCAAATTATTTTTTCATTTTCAAAAAGCTGAAGGGAGCTCTCATTCTTAATATTTATTTTACAAAATTCAGACGTTCGCGTATCTCTTAATATATTATTAATAGAAATATAAGTGTATCGATTAGAAATCGTTCGATTGCAATTTTATTTTAAACTGAAGGGGGTACTTAACAGAGTAGCGAAAACCCGGCCTTTTCTGAAAAAAATCCATACATGCCGGTTTTTATTAAAAATACTGACTTTTATTTTAAAAAAGCCAGTCTTCATAGGCTTTTTTAATATTTTATGTTAAGTAAAATATTTATTAAAGAAACTTATTTTATCGATGACTATTAAGTAAGTTAATATCAGTAAAATCTTATTTTATAAACTTAGCCCTGGCAACAATTTTACCTTGGTCCCAGATGCGTTCAAAATTGGCTCGATATGGGTTGCACCGAGGAACCAATATTGGGAAGTCTGGATTTTTTAATAATCGTCCTATATAGGGACAATATCGGCCTTTATGGGGCAAATATTGGACCTATATTGGTAGATTAATGAGTATAAAATATCGGGTGAATCTGATAATTCCGATATTGGTCTGATAGAGCCGATATTGGTTGTAAAATATCGGGTAAATCGGACAATATCTGTCCTATATGAACATACACTGAGGAACCAATATCGGGATGTCTCGATTTTTTAATATTAGTCCAATATAGGGACAATATCGGCCTTTATAGGGTCAATATAGGACCTTTATTGACTATTAAATGGATATGAAATATCGAATGAATCTGATAATTCTGATATTGGTCTGATAGGGTCGATATTGGTTGTAAAGTGGTTGTAAAATATCTGGTAAATCGGACAATATGGGTCCTATATGAACATTCACCGAGGAACCAATATTGAGAAGTCTTGATTTTTAAACATTGGTATAATATAGGGACAATATCGGCCTTCATGGGGCCAATATAGGATTTATATTGGCTGGTAAATGAATATAAAAAATCGAGTGAATCTTATAATTCCGATATTTGTCTGATAGGGCCGATATTGGTTGGCTGTAAAATATCGGGTAAATCGAAAAATTCTATTTAGGGCTAATATTGGGAAAATAATTGCTCTTTGAACCTTAAGCCAAGGTTCGAGATTATTGGTCCAATTTGGGCCCAAGTTATTTTTGCTGCTAGGGTACTTTATCTTCTGAGATTATTATTCCATAAATAGATAAAATGTAACTTGATTTTTTATGATGCAATTTCTTCTCCACATTTACTTCAAAATCGGACATTTTTGTCATAAATTGCTCTAAACCTATTTGAATCACGTTCTAATATATCCTAGTTGTGCTTTAAATTAATTCAGAATGAGATTTTTTTTTTTTAATTGAGCTGACTTTACCATAAACTAAGCTTTTGCTATAAAACTATGCATGACGGACATATTTATAAAACTGTACGAAATAATATATTTTGTTTAAAATTTAAACAAATATTTATTATGGCTAATTTTGTATTATTAATATACTTATGCTGCATTAAAAAAGCTGAATTTTTATAATAAGTCAAAGTAGTTTTAAATTATTGTCCCTAACGCTTGTAAGGTTGAAGCTGTTGCTTTAAACTGTAAAGTTGCAGCACGTCGTTTCTAACGTACAATCACGCCAATTTAGTATATAATTAACAATATAATACCCCTTTATATTATTACAGCTTTTAGAAATTATTGTTTCTTACGAAAGCCGACTTTTTCAGCCTTAGCCGATCTTTTTTAAGTGTTTTAAACCAATAAAAAATTAACTGTCTTTTTTTTGTTGTTACCCTGACTAAAATCTGGCAACCCTGGTAGCTCCTAAGCCACCAATAGAAAATATCCATTTTTTATGCACAAATGTCATACCACTAATTTTGTAAAGGCAGTTTATTTATCACTAAGAATAATTGCTTTTAACACGATTTACACGTGCCTTTAAAAAAATAATGATATAATCTTTAAAACGCTATCTTTAAATTAGGATTAAAAATCTAATAAAGAACCAATAAAGATGCCATTTTTGACATTAATCATTAGAAGACAGGAAGTTAAGATAATTTTAAAGAAATGAAAGTACCTATTCACAGACAGACGAGGAAAAAATTCAAAATATGGAAGCGCCCCTAGCGGCTTACGATGACATTTCTAGTTATGGGCTCCTAAGCAATTCTTAACCCTTATGATGTGCTTTACGTCCTCTAGAAGGCTTACAGTCTTGCTGAGACTCAGCTTGTATAAAAGATTAGAATAACAAATGTCCCTGGTTTGAAATTCGGATGCGTGTCTTACAAAAATTCGATTTGTTCTAAAATTTTCTGCTTCTGTTCATGACCACGGGAAAAATATTTCGCTTAAATCTCAAATGTCAAATGGATTGCATGTATCAAAAACTGAATGTCAAAAAGCTCAAATGCATGCGTCAAAAAATGGAGCATTGGTGACGAATGGGAACCCTTTGCGTGACAAAGAACAAAAAATTAAACTAATTTTTTTTTTAAAGAAAAGCCATAGGAATCGAAATAGAATAATAGCTTTCAATAAAATAATAGCTATTTAAATTAAGCAACATTTTAATATTTTCACTAGCTTATACTGTCAATTTAAATCATACATATTCCT